TTTTAAACTTACCAGTTCATTGTGGAACTGAATTATAAAGACATTTTAAACTCACCAGTACATTGTGGAACTGAATTATAAAGACATTTTAAACTCACCAGTACATTGTGGAACTGAATTATAAAGACATTTTAAACTTACCAGTACATTGTGGAACTGAATTATAAAGACATTTTAAACTTCACCAGTTCATTGTGGAACTGAATTATAAAGACATTTTAAACTTACCAGTTCATTGTGGAACTGAATTACACTTTCTGTACTAAAACAGCTGCTCTAGAAGTGAACTTACCAACAACTAGATTATACCAGTTTGATTTGTAATCTTACGTTTGATGACGAGAAACCCACTTTGATCCGATAAATTTGAACACGGCTTGACCTTATGACGACAGAAGCTAGTTGTACATTTGTTACTATTTTAAACTTATAATAGTTTTTTTTCTTTTTTCATTAACCATTTAAGTTATCTTCAAACTTATGTTTGTTTATAGGTAGAAAATGACTGACCACTATAAGATATTAACTGTTCAACTATTAGTCTCAAAAAACTTAATTTGTAACTTTAATTGTATTGTTCTTTTTTTTTAGGCTGGAAATAGTTTTGTTATATTGACTTTGTTGGTTTTTCATGTAGGTTGGAATCAGTTGATCAATTGGTGAAGATGTTGGCTGATGCCCCTTCCGATTACTCTTACTTTGACCACAACTTGATCTCAGCATGGGCAGGCCCAAACCACTGGCATATTAGACCATTTACTAAAGGTAAACATAACTTGTAGTGACGGTCAGTTTTTCAGGTCAACAAACAAAGTAAAACGATAATTATATACATTCAGAAATGTGATACACTTTTCTTTGACAAAAAAAAATATCTAAGGAATTATTGTGACAACTATTGGTCGGGTATAGATGTTTCTTTTATAATTTAATATCTCCAGAGAAACTAAAAAAAAATTAACAGTGGTGATGGGGAACGTACAGTCTTAGTTCACTAACTTTAGTGATACAAATTTAGTGGTTGATTTTTAACACATTTTCACCTCGCTAATTGAACTGTGTGCAAACTACTGCTTATTACTGATAGTTTTGAAAAGTCTATAAGTAGGTGTCCTGTGTCTATATATGAAAAGTATATTTCTAAGAAGTCTTCATTGTTGTAAGCCTATTACCATAATAATTTCTAATTCAACCAAAACTTGTCAGGTAGTAGGAGCTTTAAAATTAATGCAATTATGAATGGCATAACGTACAGAATATCAATAAGTATTAAAAATGTTGTTTGTTAATAATATAAAGGCAATAAATAGTTTTAGAAAGGTATTATCATTTACTTTTAGCTCTTTTTATTAAATGTTGTTCACAGGTAAATTTAATGTTCAGCAAAATGAGGAAAAGAAAAGAGCAAAGAAGCCACCTTTGAGGTTAAACTATGATGAAGAAAAGAATTTTGATGAATTGTTCGCTACAAGTAAAAAACCCATGAAACTTGTTAAAAAAACTCTTCAACAGTGGGACAAAGAAAAAACAACACTGCCAGAAGACTTGCACTACGACATTAAAAAGTTGATGAAGCTATTTTCAAAACCAGATGTTTCGGTGAGTTTAAAATGTCTTTGTAATTCAGTTCCACAATGTACTGGTGAGTTTAAAATGTCTTTATAATTCAGTTCCACAATGAACTGGTGAGTTTAAAATGTCTTTATAATTCAGTTCCACAATGAACTGGTGAGTTTAAAATGTCTTTATAATTCAGTTCCACAATGAACTGGTGAGTTTAAAATGTCTTTATAATTCAGTTCCACAATGAACTGGTGAGTTTAAAATGTCTTTAGGAAGATACAATATTTGATGGGGGGGATAATGATCATTTTGGGGATGAAAATACACATTTTGAACAGATGCATCAGCACGACACCGATGCCACCGTGTCCAGTATGGTCGAGAAACGGGATGCGTGTTTCAAGTCTTCTAGACCGTCAGTTCAGCCCGTAAGGTACAGTACAAACTATGGTGCTGTGCAGATGAAATTGTTTTGTTTACAGAAAACTGGCTGTAGAATTACGTATTTAAGTTATAAACAAGGAGAATCATAAACCATAGCCATTTATACTGTCTACATTAATGGAAGCTTCTTTTTCTTCGTTACTTTAAGGCCAAATATTATGTTTATCTTTCTTTAAGACTGTTACTCAGTAAAATATGCCATTGTTATTGACATATCATAGATGTTGACATGTTGTTTGGTAGTATTGTAAACCGTTGCTTGGTTCACAGTGTTGGATGTTCAGACTTGTTCTTATAGTTTATATACATAAAGTATACAACTGTGTTGTTGTTTCACTAAAACAATTAACTGTTCTAGGTTTTGATAGACACATCCATGAATAGTAATGTTTGGTATCGTATCATTTCACCTCTGATTTAAACAGTATCCTTCAGTACAACATTTTCATTCAACTTACAGCTCTCATCAAAATTAAGAAATGCCGACGGAGAACGGAAATCAGAGTTGGCCTTTGATCCGGACAACGTACCGTCCCCCAGCAAAGATTGGGGCTTAGACAATGAAAACGACATGCATGTAAACATGTTGTAGTTTCATAACTGAGGTTTACAATACTCCCGAACAACATGTCAACATCTATGATATGTCAATAACAATGGCATATTTTACTGAGTAACAGTCTTAAAGAAAGATAAGCATGTAAACATAGTCTTAAAGAAAGATAAGCATGTAAACATGTTGTAGTTTCATAACTGAGGTTTACAATACTACCGAACAACATGTCAACATCTATGATATGTCAATAACAATGGCATATTTTACTGAGTAACAGTCTTAAAGAAAGATAAGCATGTAAACATGTAGTTTCATAACTGAGGTTTACAATACTACCGAACAACATGTCAACATCTATGATATGTCAATAACAATGGCATATTTTACTGAGTAACAGTCTTAAAGAAAGAT